TTATTTACAGACTGTAATTCTACCATTAACCAGTGTCTGTATCTAGGATTTCCATGTCGATGCCGTCATTGTCTGAACTGTCGGTGTCACCGTGACAATCACTCAGAACTTTTGTTGTAACTGTCGACAGGCTCTTCTTCAAACCACTCTGCGGGCTGACGATAATATGAGCCCAGGTCACTTTCATTTATGTTTACTACCAACTACATTTTTTGGGAATAAACTTAAATTACGCACCAAATGCATTGCGCACAGTAAATTTGGACCAAAGATAAAAAAAGTACACAATATAATGTTTCATAATCCCAATTTTTTTTGAAAAACGTTTTTTTTTTCTAGTTTTTCCCCTCTCGCTACCTCCTTAAGTACTCCTTGGTGAGCCCAATTACACAACAAGTTTTTATGATATGTTTTTTTTTTACTCCCGTGTGTGAAGCACAAAAGGGAGTCTTTGCAGTTACCCTGTCTGTATGTCTGTATGTCTATAACAATCTATGAATATTAATTACCTAATTTGCATGATAATTAGCTGATTTTTAGCTGTTCCAAGACTGTTCCACTGTTTTGGTTTGGTTTGGTTTTGGTTAAAAATCTATGAATATTAATTACCTAATTTGAATGATAATTAACTGATTTCAAGCTGTTCCATGACTGTTCCACTGATATTTGAAGAACCACTCATTGGATTTTGATGAAACTTGGCACATGGATGCTCTGAACCAATACGCAGATTTGATTAGTTTTGGGTGAAAATCTATTAATATTCATTACCTAATTTGCATGATAATTAACTGATTTTAAGCTGTTCTATGACTGTTTCACTGATTTTTGAAGAACCACTCATTGGATTTCAATGAAACTTGGCACATGGATGCTCTGAACTAATGTGCAGATTTGATTATTTTTGAGTAAAAATCTGTTAATATTATTAATTACCTAATTTACATAATGATTAATCAATTTTCGGCTTTTCCACTGATATCTCAAGTACTAATCATAACATGTCAATAAAACTTGGGACATAGATGTCATATGACACTGCACAGACCTGATAGTTTTTAGGGTAATATCAGTACATATTAATTACCTAATTTGCA